AAGATTGACAACATGAGCATAAGTACAGTTGAGCGTTGTTGTAAAGTATGGGGTCAGGAGTGTGTATGTATGAGTGTGTGTGTGTTTGGGGAGGGTTCATGAGAATCAGTGACAGTAGGGGCCTGGGTTGTTGAGGAAGACCGCTGCCATCAGAAAGAAACTGTTCTTGTGGTGAGAGGTTTTGGTTTGCAGCCTGCCCTTGTCCCTGGTTTCACCAGATGGTGATGGAGGAGGTGAGGATGGACTCAATGATGGCGGTGTAGAAGTGCACCATCACTGTCTTTGGCAGGCTGAACTTCTTCAGCTGCTGCAGGAAGTACATCCTCATCTCCCTCTTGAGATGATGTTGCCCAGGAAGCAGAAGGAGTCCACAGTAGTGACAGGATGATGGGGGAGGGTGGGACTGGGCTCTTTCTAAAATCCACGACCATCTCTACGGTCTTCAGAGCTCCAGACTGTTCTGGCTGCACCAGGTCACCAGATGGTCGATCTTCCACCTGTAGGCGGACTCGTCCCCACCAGAAATGAGCCCAATGAGGGTGGTGTCATCTGCAAACTTCAGGAGCTTGATGGACTGGTGACTGGAGGTGGCAGCTGTTGGTGTACAGGGAGAAGAGAAGGGGGGAAAGAAAGCTGCCCTGAGGGGATCTGGTGCTGATGAGAAGTTTTCCCAGCTTCACGCGCTGCTTCCTGTCCGTCAGGAAGTCAGTGATCCACCTGCAGGTGGAGTCAGGCACGCTGAGCTGGGAGAGCTTGTCCTGCAGCAGGGCCGGGATGATGGTGTTGAAATCCACAAACAGGATCCTGGCATAGGTTCCTGGGGAGTCCAGGTGCCGGAGGATGACATGAACCAGGGTTTGTCATTGTTATAACTCACCCTGGTACGTGTTGCTACACAGCTGTCCATCGTCCAAATTGTTGGTAGCAGTCCTGAAAACAACCCAGTCAGTGCAGTCCAAACACGCCTGAAGGTCCTATACAGCTTCACTGCTTGGATGTCCTCACTACAGGTTTACAGAGTTTTAGTTTCTGTCTGTATGCCGACCTCTTGACAGTGTCAGAGTTGGAGTGAATTGTTTTTATGTCAGTCAGCACTTATGTAAAACAGGTAGAATGCAACAAAACTTTTCATTTTTGTCTATAGTGCTGTGCTGATTTTTCACAGCTCTTGACTGGTGAACAGTCTGGCTGTGTTTCTGAAAGCTCCATTCTCATGTTTTTCCCCTTGGTCTGCAGAATCCAGATAGTTCCCCAATTTTAGTCTCCAGACCTGCCAAACTGCTGCTTTTTTATGTTTGTGTATCTTTGTTCCTTTCTCTGTGCTGGAGGGGGGGGTGATGGAACAACGGTTAAGACACATGCCTTTGGTGTGAGAGACCCAGAAGAAAATGAGGAAGCAGGAGTACGTTGAAAACAAAAGGTATTTATTTACAATAAACAACAAGACGTGTCTCATCATGCCTTGCTCTCTGGAAACACCACAGCGGTCTGACCAGCTGACTTCCTGAGTGACCTGAAACGTTGTCTGTAAGCCAAGGCAACAACTCATACACATGCTAAACAGTACTCTTGACCTTGTCATATGTCAGGCTATCCTCCAAACTCAATGATGCACAAGCTTCCTGAGCTCTACCAGTCAATTTACATTGTAACCCCCAGATTCATCAACTTATGGGTCCAAACTCACATTTCTGTAACACTTTGTCTACATAGGGGTCAGCAGGTAAGTTTGGTGTCGAGAATATTTTTTACATCTTTGCTTGCTGTAAAACTTCAGTTGCTCAACAGTCTGCGGTCGCCGTTGTCTTGGTCCCCTCTTCATGATGTGCCAAACAATTTCAATATAGACAGAACTGGACTGGCAGCAGGTCAGTGAAGAACACACACACATGGATGTCCCAGGAAGAGACATCACCTTGATAGCAACATATCTATCTTCTGAGCCTCTGCCTCAGTGGTACCTTCACACACATGCATCTCAACCATACTGTGGACGCTGAGCCCCCACCCCATACCATCACAGCTGCTGGTTTTTGCACCTCTCAGTGATAAATCTGGATGGTCTTATTCATCTTTGGTAAAGAGAACTCAACATCTGTTTTTCCAGAAAACAAGTGATGTGGACTCTTCTGATGTAGTACAGTTTCAGGTTACTTTTCTGAACGCAGCGGTGGACTGTTCAGTGATGATGGTTTTCCTAAGTACACCTGAGCCCATGTGGCGATATTTGTCACAGAAGCATGACGGCAGTGCTGCCTGAGGGCTCGAAGGTCACAAACATTCAAAAGTGGTTTCCTTTCCTTCCCCTTTACGCACTGAGATGTCTCCAAATTCCCTGAATCTTTTCACAGTATTATGTACTGGTGATTTTGAAAGACCTAATCTCTCTGAAATCTTGCATTAAGAAATGCTACTTCCCTTTGAACTTACGTGAAGGTGAGAGCCACAACCCATCCTTACTTGTGTAAGCGACAGGTTAAGTGTCACCACTTTAGCCACCCGGGAATAAATGCCCGTCAGGTCAGCTCCGAGTTTCTTCTTTCCGCTGTTGCTGCTGTGTGGTGTGGTTGTGTATCGCTGCTCTGTCCCGTCATTCGAGGTATGTAATGCCTGCAAATTTAACAGTGTTGTTCTGTTATGTAGTGCGCTAACGTGGTGTGTGTGTGTGCGCTTATACTGTTATCCTAGATTGACGCTCTATGTGATCCGTGCGAGGTCTCTGGGAAAGACGGCCTATGAAGCACATAAATGTTTGCAGAGATTCAGAGGTGTGTGTGTGTGAACCACAAAGGTACTCTAGTGTATAGCTAACCGCTGTTTTTTGAATTAATGCAGCCACTGCTGCTTTGCCTTGTCTGAGTTATTAACACAGTAATGTAGCCTACCTGTTTTTTTATTATTTTAAACTTATTTTTAATTGAATCCTTGTCCTTTTTTTATTGTTATGACCTGTTTTATAGTGTGTGAGGAGATTTTATTACTTTGTTTTGTTATATTGTGTTTCGTTTTAGTGATTTTTAATTTGACTTTGATTTCAGAAAAAGCTATTGACATAACATTTTAACCAAGGAGATCTCCTGATTGTGGCTCGGGGTATTTTGGTCCAGAGGTGGTGACGTATAATAGCTGGCTTATTTTAATAACATTGCATGTACTTTTAAGTGTGATTTGTGTGATTTTTTTATTTTGTTATATTGGTGTGTTGAAGTGTTTATTTATAGCCCCTTTTATTCAATCCACACCATGGAACTATAGATTGCCGCCACTCGTTACCAAGAGCTTTCGACTCAACTCTCCTCTCATTAAGTATTATTGGTCATTGATTCTTTTCTTTGCATTATGTTCTTAGCTTATTTTTATAGTTATGTTTAGTTTGCAGCTGTTTTATTGTGTCTGTTTGCTCAAAGGAAAAACTGTCTCTGATCTTGCCTGTGCTGGTGGGAATCGCCAGGGTTGGTAAAAACTGTTATTAAGTTCACATTTCAACTCTTTGAGTGAAAGTCCCAAGGTGACTTGTCAACCTTTACTTATCGATTTGGGTCGAGTCCTCCATTGGGCCCGGTTACACTTGCAAAGACTGAGCCTTTAGCGGATGCTAATTTAATATCTAATCATGACACCTCACCAGTTATCAGTCAGCCTGCTTATTGTGGAGTCTTCCAAACAGAGCTTACTTGAATATTCTGTGCACTTTTCAATCTTACTTCAACTCTGTCCACACCTTTAGGTGTGTTGCAGGCATGTAATTGTAAGTTAAAATTCACAAAATACAATTACACTGGTCAATAAAACTACTGAAAATCTTTTCTTTGTACTTTTGTCAGTTAAATAAAGGTTCATGTAAATTGAAAGATCACAGGGTTTTTTTTATTGCTTTTTGGAAAATGTCCCAACTTGTCTGGAAATCCGATTCGTACATGATGACGTGAGGATCTTCCAGCCTTCATTTTCTTTGTTGTTCATTTTGTCTTCCTCTTTGTTCCAACACCACCTCTTAAGCATGGCTAAGGCTTGTATATTTTAGTTCAAAGTTCAACTGGACTAAACTCGGCCACATGAATGAATGATATGTAAATTCAGTAACAAAATACATCCTGTCCTATTTTTATTAACGTCAGGCAGCTCAGCTGATGGGATGAGTGCAAATAGTTCAATGAAAAAAAGACACTTGGAAACAAGAATTTGCAGATTTATTGTTGTATCAGGATTAAAGAAAACATACATGGAAGTAGAATCAAAAGTTTCCATAAATTAAAACTCTAAAAGATAGACTTAGCTTTAATATATGGCACAAATGAACTGAATGCGCTGTCAAGAGGTATGATCTGGTAGTCGGTCGTTGACAGTTCGTGATCTGACACCAAACACACACATAATTTTTACAAACAGGACATGATATATAATAAATTTCAAAAGCATTTTTGATAGAAGATTCAGTCACGCTCACTGGCAGAGCTGCACACATACATAATTTGAATGCTGGCTGTAGCAGAATATACTCTATGGTATAGATTTTAATGAATCTCAGAAATATGGTATCAAGTCTCAAAGCTCTTTACTCTACAAAAGTGTTGACTCTGTTGCCTGTTGTGTGTCAGCTGCATCACTTCAATAAACCTATTTCTCCTGATATTTCTCAGCTGTCTGCGCTGCAGTGGTGAAAAAACACTGTACTGCTACTATTGCTACTCCTAGTACTTATAGGGCCAGATTTACTAAAGGTCTGCGTGAGCAAAAACGTGTGCTAACTTGATATCAGCAGCAAATTAACACGTAAGCTGATCTGCTAACGGTGTGCACGCAGAATGACGTCTTCCAAAAGTGCAACATAGCACCTGTTGTTCATTTACTTCTTTTGCCTTAATGAATATAAAATTTGGGGCGTTTCAGTTTTATTGTGCAAAGTAACGGGAGGGTAACCTGCTAATACATTTATTTATACACGCAATGTGATCTAACGAGCCTAAACGCAATTTCATGTGAGTGCAACAGCATCTGGATTTAATAAGTTTGAAAGGAAGGTGCAAACCGCAAAGTGTTGCAGAGATGGCTGCTGTTGTCAATGTGAGATGGAGACACAGCCGTAATGAAAGAAGACGGAGAGAAAGGTTTTTTTCATTTGTGTCAATGTTTTTGGCAGGACTGAGGAACGTGCACATTTTGCCTCTCCAGCCATGCCGTATTGGAGTTGTTGGCTGATAAGGGCTGATTCGGAGCCAGTTACAAGAAGGAGTCACGTAATACCTGGCACGCCCAAACTTTTGGCAACTCTGCACCCGGCCCATTGTGCTCTTGTGAATTATTTCATTGACCTACCAAGGAAAGCTACCAACAGTGCTGCTGCTGTTGCACCACCAGCAAATTTAAGCCAAAACTTTTCAAAGACACTGGTTTTAGCCCTTTGTGTGATCTCCTCTAGTGACATGTTTGGATATGATTGTCTGATATGCTCTTGTTCTTCCTCTGCTTTTCTATTCGCTTCTTGGAGCATCTCATTGGTAAAGTAGCCTCCTTTGTTGGCCTCAATCATTTTATCTATTGTCTTGAGTAGCTCTTCTACCTGGAACTGGTTGCTCCTGTATCCATCCTGTTGGTTGTTCTTCCAGTATTTATTATCAATGATGTGGCACCGGCACTCACACTTCCTCACCATATCACTCAGATCTTTACTTCGCAGGACAAACTGCTCGATAATCTCTCCCTCAGCGAGCTGGTCACCATGTGTAAAGAGAACTATGGAATATTTTAAAGCTTCTTCTGAGAAATATTCTTGGAGTTTATTTATGACAGCCTGCTCATGCTCTGTGTATTTCTCCACTTTGAGCACAATGAGAAAAACATGAGGCCCAGGAGCGCACTCTGTGATGCACCTCAATATCTCAGGCTTCATCTCCTTCTCAGACCTCCGTGTGTCAAAGAACCCAGGAGTGTCAATCCACTTAATGCTTCTTCCATTGACAGATATGTTTTTTGCTTGACATTCACTTGTTCCAGATAAGGCTGAATGGTCTACCTCGAACACAGTCTCTCCAGATATGGTGTTAGCGATGCTGCTCTTCCCGATTCCAGTTTTTCCCAACACCACAATCCTTGTTAAAGCTAGAAGACGATAAGTACTTTGTGTCAGTAATATACAATATTAGTGTAGTTTCTCTCTGGAGTTTCAGTAAATATACATTGAGAAAAGTGGCACCAAAGTAGTGAAACGTTGCTGACAACAAAAGCTTACTAACATAACTGGCAAATGAACTGAATGCTTTGTTCGGCTTCGGATGACCGTTGAAGGTAAAACCTCCTGGAAGAGTTTTATGAAGTAACTGCATGATAAGCAGCAACACCATATGCATATTCATTGCTATAATGGGAATTGCTATTACTTATACAAAATACTTACATCCTTATTCACATGAAATGCAGGGACTTTTCAAAATAAACATGTTTATTTACATGTTTAACCATCTTTAATGAAATTGCTTTCACTACAAACTACAATTGCAATTTATGCAATTTATTTTGGAAGCATATTTTCTGTAATTCTTTCTTCCTGACAGCAATCAATAAATCAAATGCTTTGACACTTATGATGATGATTGTTGTGATGATAACGATTATTGTTGTTGTTATTAATATTATTTGTGAAGCACTTATTTAATACCACAGCAAGTGATAAAATACACAAGAGCAAAATAAAATAAAATAGAAATAAACAATAAAATATGACTAATAATAACTACAAAGGATATAAGAGAACATAAAACAAGAATAAAATCCGTAAAATAAATAGGCAGCTCAGATAACTTCAGGAGATGCTTTCTGATAAAAGTGCATATTGTGATGTATATTGTGCAACAGACTTAAAAGAAGACACTTCCTCGGGCCCGTTGTTTCCGAGCCTGGGAGCCCTAAAACTAAGCACGTGTTCATAATAAGTTCAACGATCTAAAATATAATCTGGAGCCGGGTCATGGAGAGCCAAAAAAGCAATCAATGAGATCTTAAAATCAGGCAGGGAGTGGATGTAAAGGCGCTGAACCAGGTGTGATGTTATTGGACCTCTTGGTTCTTGTTTAAAGCACGCAGCTTATTCGTTGCAGGGCTTTTTGATTAAGACAAGAGAAAAGGCTGCTGCAATTATCAATTTTGTGTATGCTTTGGATCATCTCTAATAACAGTACTGAATATATAAAACGAGCTGATGTGAGGAGAATAATAAGCAGAACTTACCATCCATGCTTTCAAAAAACAGGAGATCAGTGCAGAGTTGAAAATTCTTAGATCTCCAGGATGTTGTGACTGTGTGTCTTTTCTACTGTCTTGCTCCGGTTTGCCTCTCACTTTGTCTTCCACCTTTGCGGCCAGCCAGTGTTTTACACAGAGCTCTTCTTTTTTTATACCCGTCATGTCTGTACAGTAACACCCAGCTCGTTTGCATATCAAAAAGCTCCACAACCAAAGATGTTATGTGAGGACGACGTAAATGTTTTCTTTCATTATTTTACAGGCTTAAAGAAAAAACTATTTGGTAAAACTATTATCCTACTCAATAAAGAGAAATGATGAGTGATATAAATAAGCAACATGTGAATTATTCTCAACATTTAAGTCACATAGCTTTAAATAACAACTAAAGCACCGAGGCTTGTTCTGAAGTTCTGAAGATAAATTACTGTCATGCCAGAGGTACGGATGAATTTAGATGGTTTACAGCTTCTGATCTGCTGGTATTACTTATACCATCTCAGTAATCTTGTCTCAACAATAATCATATATTAATAGAAAGCTTTATTTTTCTGGGTCAAAATGGCAGCGTTGTCTTTTTATACCTCTTTATGGTGGAGTGTTTATTCTGTGGGTGAGGCAGTGGTGGACACACCATATCAAAACGTCATGTAAACATTAACATGAATTAATATCTGAAGTTGGCAAAATCACATGACATTCTGTTGTGTGCTTCTTGACTTTATGTTTATCTCCATAAGTGTTAATGTGTTTCACCCTCCTATACAGATACACCACAAACTGACAATAATCTAAATGCTTATATTAAACTGCTCTCTAGTGGGCAGGTGATGCCACTGCAGTTTCCAGATGCCTTCCAGATGCCTGATGACTTCATGGCCAGAGTCCGTCCATCCATTCATCATCAACCGCTTATCCTGCGTACAGGTTCGCGGGGGGCTGGAGCCAATCCCAGCCGACACAGTGGTGACTGGGGAGAAACGGGATGATGGGGGAGGATGGGGCTGGGCTCATTCTAAAATCTATGACCATCTCCACTGTCTTCAGAGCGTGGAGCTCCAGACTGTTCTGGCTGCACCAGGTCATAGATTACAGGGACTCGTCCCCACCACGCTCAGCTGGGGGAGCTTGTCCTGCAGCAGGGCCGGGATGATGGTGTTGAAATCCACAAACAGGATCCTGGTGTAGGTTCCTGGGGAGTGCAGGTGCTGGAGGATGTAGTGAAGGGCCATGTTTACTGCATCATCTACAGACCTGTCGGCTCTGGAGGCGAACTGCAGGGGGTCCAGGAGAGGGTCTGTGATGGATTTAAGGTGGGACAACACAAGGCGCTCAAAAGACTACATTACCACAGTGGTCAGGGCGACGGGTCTGTAATTGTTTCGTCCTTGGTTTTTTGGGGGTGATTCCCAGGAAATTACAAACTATAAAATACCATCAAGAATTCATACAAAACTGCGTTTTTTTTTTCATTGTTGAGCCAGAGGCTGGTGTATTGGCGACATACAGTGCAAGGCATATGCAATAAAAACAAATAAACACTGATTATGATTTCATGTGGACTTTAAAGCTGTTATTTTAAGATTAAAAACTACATAAAGTAGTTTAATTAAAGGAATTCTTCCTCCACCACTCTTACGTTTTTAGCACACTGTCCCTTTAATTGTAAAATAAAAAGCAGAAATCCCTCGGCGCATGCGCACTCTGCCCCAGGGAGAAGTAAATGCGTCAACTTTTGTTTTTGGACTTTTCTCTTCGAAGTGTTGCGTGTTTACAGGACATGGTGAGTGAACAGACTCTGTTCTTTTCATTTGTTTTGCAGTTTGCAGAAGTGTTAACAGCGTCGAGCCGCCTGAATAAAGACACAGGAAGTTTGTGGTGAAGAGGAAACGGCAGGAAAAGCTGAGATTTAGGGCAGAAAAACATGAAAACACGAAGGTAGTGACGTTGATTTGAGCCCTAAAAAGGGGCGTTTTAAGAACCAAGTCCGGTTTGTTTAGTTTGACTCGATAGTTGTCAGATAAAACGACAGTAACGCTGCTGAGCGTTTAACATGAGATTCACCTGCTGTGTGAAATAAAGGAATCTTAAATATATCTGCTGAATACTGATCCACTAACTATATGATTGAGTTTTCTTCCCATTATGTCGCGTTTTGTTCACCACATGCCCCCCCCCCCCTTTGTTTGTTTATTTTTCAGTGTGCGCACGCGTGTTTGAGGCCTTCACCCAAACTATAAACAATTCAACAAAATACAGCATTGCTGTTAATACATCAGAAAGTACACACAGTGCAAAAACTGTGTGTGAGTGCAGTATTACCACCGTGGAAAAACACTTCATCACAAATAAGAGTTCTGCAGAGAGAATCTGCCCTGAATAATCTTCAGAGTTTCTTTGCAAAAAATCTGAATCTGCAAATGAGGCCTGCAACTAACGAGTATTTTCATTGTCATTTGTTTGGTCTATAAAAGTCAGACAATGGTGGAAAATGTCGACCAGTGTTTCCTGAAACCCAAGAAGACGTCCTCAAATGTCCTATTTGTCCACAACCCAAATATTTACAGTTTAATGTCATAGAGGAGGCAAAGAACCCAGAAGAGATTCACTTTTAAGAAGCTGAAATCAAAGAATTTAGACATTTTTTCCTGAAAAACTACTTAAACGATTAATCCATAATCAAAATAGTCGCCCAGTGATTTAATAATTGAGAAATAATCCATTAATGGTTGCAGCTCTGGAGCAAACTAGCTTTAGCCGTCACAAACAGGCAGATACATTCATATTCTTTTATCCTGCTTATTTAAGTTTTTATTTCATCTTCTCTCTCTGAAGCACTTTGTACTTTATGATGTGTGTGTGCTCAGTGTAGAGAAGTCTGAAGAACCGAGTGTGCCACAGTCGAAAAATGAATACAGAAATAAAAAAATATTCATATGTTAAAAAGAGAGACATAAATAAATAAAATTGATTAAACAAAAACTTAAAATGATTAAAACAAGCGCATAAATAAATACATTAAAAATAACTAATTTATAAAATTGAAAATTATAAAGGAAAATAAATAAATAAGGTAATTAATACAAAGGTGAATACATAAAGATGCATATTAAAGAAGATATAACCTATCAATTGATGTCTCATTGTATAATTTATATAATGCTCTTTTATGTAGTTTTGGTGGATTTAATAGGATGTTTATTTCATTTCTGTAAATTAAATCTAATTGTGATCATTTTGACTGAAATTGAACTTAATTTCATTGAGAAACATAATAAAATAATAAATAATAAAAAAGTTTTTCTTTTGTAGATGTGTAGGCCAGGATATTTCTGCCACAATATTCAATTTAAAATGGTATTTTTACTTTTTGACAAATAGTGCTCCTCCTACGAAGTTGCAGTAGACAATGTTGAGAGTTAGATAAAATTTCCATCGATTGTTCAGCCCTAGTATAGGCTCCTTAAAATCGTAGCCTACCTAAGCACAGCACTTGAGTAAAAGTACTTGTGTCTTTACTTTTCGACTCACTGCTTTTCTCCAGCAGCATGTTTCACGTTCCAGGTGTGAAAAACACAACAAAACAAGCCAAATCATTTTATGATGAGTCTTCATTAAACAAAGCTTGTGTCCATTTATGAATTTCTTGTGTTGAGATGTAGATATTTGATCTCAGTTGAACTGGTCCAAATGCTTCAGCGCTCTCTGCTCTCTGTCTTCTGAGCCAGAGTGAAGATGAATGAGGACGCCTACGAGGTCCCGGCGAGGACCGAGTACCGCTACCTGGTGCAGGAGGAGGAGGAGGAGGTGCAGTACGTCCGTCACAGACACTACGTGAACCCCCTGCTGGTGCTCTCCAGACGCTGCATCTTCCTCATCTGCCTCGGCGTGTTCTCGCTGCTCTCTCTCGCCGCCTACCTGGCCTACATCGCCCAGACGCTGCCGCCCGGCCTCGCCCAGGTGTCGACAGACTGCGGAGAGTTCAGAGGAAGACACGTGAGTTCAGACTCTCAGCGAGGTCAAGACATGGACATACTGTCCACCTGTGCATGTACAAAATAAAATCAGGGCTTTCCTAACGATTATTTTTCAATTGATCAATATAACAACAATTTATTGAGGGTTATTCTTAAGATTGTTGTTTTATTTCTCCATCAGTATAACAAATAATTTATACAAAATTAACATCATAAACTTGTCTCATTAATAATTCAATGTTTTATTTAATCATCCTGAAAAAGAGACACTTAACACTCATTATAGGTACCTGTCTAATGCAAATGAGAGATGTATTTTCTGTATTTTGTGTTGTCTTTGTGAAGCTGCAGAAAACCAATTTCTTTCATCACTTTACATGCAGTAAGATAATCAATGTGGGACAAAGGAAAAACTGCCACTGTAATAATGTTAGTTGAGGCCGTTTCTCACTCTTTCGTGGCCGATAAATTAACCAAAAATCCTAAAACGGCACCACGTTGTTGGGTCTCTGTCTAAATTACTCCCAAACTTTAGATGTTCGAGGTTTTGTATCTCCGGGCGACTCCCTGCTTAGACACGTGCAGCGACACTCCGACGCACGTTAAATCAATATATTTTCACAATCAATGAATCACCACAACCCTAAGAGAAATATCCAAATGTCCTTACGAGAAAATAAATAATAACAACCATGAAAATAGTTTTTTTTTACCTAAAACAAGGTCAAATCTTGACCAATCAAAACCAACAAAGTAGCTAATACTGTTTGCTTTCAGCCTCATGATCGAAATCTCAGATCTCTTCTGTCTCTTATCAGCAGTCCACACGACATCCGTCTTTTACCAGAAATTCATTTTATTCTCAGAAAATTCCAGTTTTTTAATACTCAAATGTGGTATTGCTCTGAACTCAGATTTACTTCCTCGTTTGAACCCCCAGAACCCTCGTTTCACTTTCCTGATGTTGTAACTTCAAGTGCTTATTAAGCAGAAATTATAACAGTGGGCCTCAGCATGAAACTAATTTTTTGTGAATATTGTACTTCAGAGGCGCTGAGCTGCTCTGTGCTGCAACAGGAGGGAAACACTGTAATTAGGAGCTGAAGGCAGATTCATGCCTCACTTTGACATTTAGTTGTTTTTATAACTTTACTAAGC